AATAAAACTGTCTCGACTAATATTGATAGTCAAAATGTCCCGTTTTGATGTCAACACGCACACTGGGCAGGGAAGCATAAATCATAAGACACGGTGTTCCGAAGCGTTCGGTTGTTCCGAGAAAGTTAATTAACAAGTTAACACATGTTTTTTTGTCAACAAACGCGAATTTTTCAACACGTGGTGTTTGGTGACAGTTTATTGTTTGTGAAATGTGAGATAGCTGCAGATGTAGTGTAAATGAACATCTGCGTTAAGGGATAATCGTTAATAATAATAAAAAGATAGAACTATTTTTCAAAATAGTTTTCTTTCTGTGCATTATGCAACAATACTCCACACGACATTAAAATTATGTATGTATTGTTTAATTCATATTCATCTGGTGCGATTAATGTACAGGTTACTATAAATTTATTGAATAATACAAAATTATGATGACTCAATATATTGAAATTCCTTCAGTGCTCATAAATACATCGCACTGGGGTATCACCCCATAAATAACATCCCAAAGTGTCACCGACGATTTATTTTCCGTTTGTTAATGAGAGAAAAGGATAACATACGAGTTTCGATTCGTTAATTTATTTTTCTTCCTGTTAAAAAGCTAAGTGCTGTTTTGCATATTCTTAATATGTACTAACAAAACTGAGAGAGATATTGTGTTACATTATATTTTTAAGTAGTACATTTAAGTAAAATAAATTAATACTGTAATGGAACACAATACTCGTATTAATAATTATACAATAGAAGCAAAAGTGCGTGTAAATGTTTGTTGCGCTTTTACGACTTAACCACTTAACTGATTATAATGGAATTTTACTCGTTAATGTTGTTGGTTAGTAAAAGAGAACTGGTGCCAAGGGTTGAAAAATAACTTTAACAAGAGGAAAGCCGCGAAGAAATTAATTAAATTACCAAATTAATTAAATTAAAACAGATTTTTAAACTCTTGTAATAGTGCTCACAAAATCTACTTCCCTTTTTAATGAATGATGATGAATGAATGAATGAATCAGTGAATTAACTTTACAATTGAAATCTAAAAATACCTAAAGATTCTGTTCTATTTCTAACGAACAAGCCATAATTAAAGTGCACGACCCTAAGCAATAATTAAGTCTATCCGGAAGTGCCTACTCACATATGTGTACAGCTTGACGGTTTTAAGTTACATGTGCTATCTCATTCTTACATATTCACCGGTATAATTTGATCTCGTTACTTAAGAAAAACAGATCTAGCCAAGAGTCAACCATTTATTGGAATTTAAAAGACGTCCGTCTCATCCTGAACTTTCAGTTCAAGTACGTTTGATATACAGATGTTGGTGTATAAATACTTCATGTCAATATTGTGACGCCCAATTATAGTTTTAAACTTAATTAGTGAACTTGTTAAAATTAGCTTAATTATCGGAAATGTTTTGTAAAGAAAAAAGGACATAGTCTACTAGAGCAGAAGTCGGCAATTAGTCGCAAGTGGTTCCAGATGAGTTTGATAACCACGTGCTTAGTGCCCATCGTTATTGATTGGATAAGTTAGCTGAAGAATGTAAACATTACTTCTACCTTAACGAACTTCAGTAGAAGATTTTGCACAATATGTGAGAATTGAAGATGTCTAACTTGTATAATATTTGCACTGTACAGAAGACAATGCCAAGAAAGGTAACGCTGCTTAGTTTTTCTGGCGAGCAGATCAACCGCGAAGTAATCAGTGCCTTCGCCAGACGAGTTGTAAGCAACTCGTCTTGTCTGACCTGAATGATTAACACTCATAATTCAAAAATAGAGCATTAATAAATTGAAAATAATTCCAGTCTATAGTCTATAATCTACATTTATATAGTCCGCGGTTCGTCGATTCTAGAAACTTGTGGTCATTGCCTAAGCTATAATAATGTTTAGCAATTGTAAAAACGTATGGCTTATAGCGTAAGCCTCAAATCACAACCCCCTACTTTTATTCATGTCTCTAGACCTAAGACCAGTCTAAAACTATTGTCTACTGCTGATAAAACAAGTCCAAAATAATAGGTCTGCAACAACTGTCAGAAATAAAAAGAAATAAAAAATCTCATTTTAAGACTTAACTAACTGCTGTTAGTTTTAACATATCCAATTTAAACATAAACTTAAACCCAGTAGTGCTTCAAATCACAGTTCTGAACCACTTCCAAGAATAAAAAAAGAAGGAGAAACGTTTATGAATAAATCATCAGCAATCATCTCGCGAAACGCAATCAAAAGACCCATTAGAAAGAGATAGACGTATTAGCCTTTGACGAGAGTAAATAAGAGAAGGATAACTAGATCCTCTAAGGTGTAATTATGCTGTTAAGAATATAATTTTGAGTTGTTAAAGCGATGCATGCGTCACATAATATCTTTTTCGTTTAAGGTACAAAATATCCCCACAAAATATCTATCCACCCACAAAATATCTTCACAATGATCCTAAAATAGGATAGCTGAAAAAAGATGTAAGGGCCTTAATGTTCAGTAATTTCCTCTATATCTTGGATTCTAAATGTTATTTTTTATTGTGTCATGTGCTTTGAGAGCTATTTTGTCTTTATTTTTTTTTAAAGAATTCATTAGCAGTTTAAAATCTCATCACCAAAGGCTTAAAGATAAACACGTTTCGGTTTAAAATGCTTATCAAACACGCTGCCTTAATAACAGAGATTAACCTTAAGTTTTTTACATCCACTTAATGTATTAATTTTTTTAACAATTTAAGATCTTTCAATCAACCCGAAGTCCATCAAAAAATTAAATGACGGGTGTATCTTTATTATAATATTTTATAATTTACTTTTATTCTGTGAACTAATCGACTACCTGGGATCACACTGCCGTATCACCTTTAAACAGTATAAAAACATTGTTAGCTAGTGATATGTGTTTTTGCAGTATCCTAACTAATGATTGTACCTATTAATCGTTTTATGACAATGATGATTTAACGAGTACAGTATTTTCCTATGAATTTTGCAGCAAACCAACTGGGCAGGGCTCGTTTGTTCTAGTTTGGAAGAAAAATTGCCAAATGGAAGTTAAATACGTTTTGTATTTTAATTACAAATTTGAATTAAGACTTTTTTGCATATTTTTTTCAGTTTTCACTGACACTTATTGCTAAAACGTATAATTAAATACAAAATATTATTTCCTTTATTTTTTATTGAACACTGAATATTCAAAATGGTGCGGCCGTAAAAAATACCTACGCCGACATTACAAATTCACGTCGTAACGCCTTCATCTCGCCGCACATTCGAATAACAACCAAACTCATAATTTACAACGAGGCTCATTAGTATACGCTGTTACAAAGTCACTACGCGCACGGCCAAAGACGCCGCCCAACAAAGACATTGACATTCATATATTAACGCTAAACGTGACCACGAAACCACTAGATATCGAACATCGAGATACTAATTTTACGCCCAATCGACTCGAATAAAAATTAATACATCACTATCAAATCGACTCGAATCCTATCGATATAAAAACTGCTTCGCCTCAGTGCACCAATTATTCGATATTCGTCATCTATACTAAAAAAGAACATAAAGACAGTTTTCCGATGAGGTTTTTGCGCGCGGTTGCGGCAAAGTCGTTAGGGTGACCATAGCCGAGTAATGGAATTCGTAGCCAAGTCGATTGGCCTCAAATTCGATGGATGATACATTTTTTGGTTCGTTTTAAAGGACACAAATGTCGTTTTCCACCGGTTCTCATGACGATGAAGACATAAAAATTTGGGAAGTCGAGCGGCGCGTCAAAAAGAGACCACATACGTTATATTCGTGAGACTTTTGGTATTATTTTCTTATTGGGTCGCGTCGTACGGCCGCAAAATTGTTAGCCGCTGACGCCTTTTGCATCAGGCTATTATTGTTTGGTAAATCGCCCGCCTTGGAGCAGGCAAAGCGTGATCAACAAATCACATCGTTTCGGGCGATTACTTTTTTTTTACTGGACCCGCGGCGTGTTTGTTTTCGTACGTTTGAGATGTGATTATTATGAAAATTTGTTACCTAAGCGACGCCTCGCTCGTCATGGAGGATAGATTTTAATTAAGATGACTAATATTTATAAATGTTCACAAATGTAATACCTTAACGAATTATGTGATGTTTAATTCAATTTAAAAAAGACGTCACAATTCTAAACATTTTTAAGTTATGTTAATTATAATTATGTAGTAATTAAAAACAGCATGAATGATGAATGAAGCTGCGAAGAGATTCAAATACTTGCCTCATTAATTTAATGTCTATGTCTTAATTTTAATCTGCGGTAGCCTCACTTATATCCTTAATAGTACCTAATAAATTTGTTTACATATGTCCATCCTGTCTTACACTTATAAATGCCACAACTTGAACGGACAAGTTTATTCCAGATTCATAGTCATATAGTAAGTTATGTAGGATACCCAATTAGTAGGGACATATTAGGACATTCTCAATTTGGTCAGCATGAAATCAGTTCCCGCGAAATAGCTCGTAAAAGACATCCGGTACTACATTAATCACATACGGCGTTAAGTGGCCACTTTATATGCAGAATGGAACCGAGATGTTGACAACTCAATCTTAGCTTATTAAGGCTAGGGTGACTAAGCGATGGAGATTTGTAGTCTTTAAAAATAAAGCTATAAAGACGTTACCCATCATGTTCATTGAAATTATAAATAGACGCTTCAGAATAAAGAACAATCAATGAATGGCTGCTTTACGACTTAAAATATATTCAAATAACTCAATAAAACGATAATTTATTTTTCTGTTCGTTACAAAGTAAGCATTAGAGTGTTAAAATATTAGGACTGAATATATTAATTTGCTCGTGTCATAAAATATGTATGTCTAAAAGTAGCCAAATTTATGTCAGACATAAAAGTTCTTTGTTGCTTTTCGGCACGAGGACTTTTTTAACTGATAATGATATTAATTTTATTCTTTTTTTTTATTTTAGGTTTAGAGTACTTAAGTGCAGCCAGGAGTCTGCATCCAGAACTGCATGCTGGTAGTACTCTTGCCAGCCAGGATTTTCAACTTAGTTTAGAAGGTAAGTTTTTAAATCCATAATTCAAAGTTGTATTTTGTAAATAATTTATTAGGCAAGGTGTGATTCTAGCGATCTTTAATTAGATATTTTTTTACGTTTTGAAGATAGGCTATAATTATATACCTAAAACCTCGAGAGAATCACTTTTTCATGTGATTTTTATCTAATTGTTGATTAACTTTTTAATTACTATGTCAATGTAGATTAGTTTTTGAATGCTATTTTAAATATACATAAATGTAAACTAACATTCTTATTTCCATATTAATATGTATTTTTTGATTTTTGTCCTAATTCTTACTCATAGGTCACAATGCATTGCGTCTTTCTCTCGAAGATAACACTTTATCAAGTCATTTATATTCACATATACAGCACGGATGGCGTAGTGGTTTAAGCGGTTACCTCGCTGCTTCCTACTGGCTGAGTGTTGTGGTTTCGATCCCCGCAGGGACAACACTGGGTGATCCACAATTTGTTGTTCTGAGGCTGGATGTTCTTTGTGTTCGCTTCATGTGTGTTTGTAAAATCCCGCGCGACACAGGATATATTCCTAGTGCAGGAGTTGTCTTAAAAAAAAAGTGATTTGACTGTTGCATCTGTGTGAACACATACATACATATATATAGGTATTCACGGCTTTTTGTTGAGATTAATTAAAAACGGCAAAAGTAAATTTAACACAGCGTAGTTTTATTTAAGAGATTCCAGAGAGTACAAACCAAAACCATAGACTTACTAGAGAAGTACTTTCATGTTAGTGTTGTATTCATAGATGACCGGTAAAGTAGAATTTTATTATTACAACACTCTCACCAAATTTTAACTTTACATACATCTTATATGAGAAAAATATAGAGACCAACAGACAACCTGTAGCTAAGAATAGCAATTAATAACAAAAAAAATCTACTTGAGAGATGCTTGCTTAACACCAATTTTATTTCTAAGATATTGAAATTGTTCCTTAGGTAAAGCTTTAGTAAATATGTCTGCATATTGCTCTTTGGTATTCACATATTTGAGATCTATTTGTTTCTCTGAATATTTTTCTTTAATAAAATTATACCATATATCTATATGCTTACATCGTTTGTGATAATCTACATTCTTAATTAAACAAATTGCACTTTGATTGTCAATATTTAGACAGATACAGTTCTGATTAAATTCGTTTATGTCCATTAACAATCCCTTTAACCATATAGCTTCTTTAGTTGCAGAACAAGCAGCCATGAACTCTGCTTCCGTTGTAGACAAGGCTACACTTTGTTGGCGTTGTGTTGCCCATGTTACTGCAGCTCCATTTTTCATAAATACATAGCCAGTTAAAGACCTGCGTGTGCTCGTGTCTTTGGCATAGTCTGCGTCACTATAACCTTCTAGGTTAGACTTTGAAGGTGTGTAGCATAAACCATAGTCCTTTGTTCCTTTCGGATATCTTAATATTTTCTTGACAACATTCCAATGGGTCTGATCGTAACAGTTCAAATATCTACTCACCAGACTGACTCCATACATGATATCTGGACGGCTTACCACAGCCAGGTGCATGAGTGAGCCCACAGCCTCTCTGTAGGGAATAGTTTTGTCAGGGGCTTCAGTTGCTTTCTCCAGAGTAGTGTGAGGATCAACTGGAACATTGTTACAGTTTGCATTTTGCATATTAAATCTACATAATAACCGTTCAATATATTTTGATTGGTGAATAAACATACACTTTTCAAATCTTTCTATTTGTAATCCTACAAAGTTCTTTGGATCACACTGTTTGATTTCAAAATTATCCTTTAAGTCACTCAACACTTTGTTTAGTGAGTCTTCTGAATTAGATATAAGAAGCCCATCGTCAACATACAACAACAAGTAAATTTTATTTTTGTTTACATTTCCAATATAGACACATTTATCGCTATGACTATTAGTAAACCCAAATTTCTTTAGTAAATGATCAAATTTCTGGTTCCAGCACCTTGGTGCTTGCTTCAAACCATAGAGTGAACGATTAAGTTTACATACCAAATTTGATTGGACCTCCAAACCTTCTGGTGGCTTCATGTAAATAACTTCCTTTACATCTCCATATAAGAATGCAGTTTTTACATCAAATTGGATAATTTTTAACTCATTTTGGACAGCTTCTGACAGTACAACTCTTATTGAATCATATCTCACCGTAGGAGAGTAAACTTCAGTGTAATCAATGCCTTGTTTTTGTCCACATCCTTTAGCACACAGTCTTGATTTAAAGATTGGACCAGATGGATTGTCTTTTATTCTAAATACCCATTTACAATCAATTAATCGCACTCCTTCCGGTTTTTCAATAAGGTTCCAAGTATTATTTTCTTCATGTGCTTTTAACTCATCTTGAATTGACTGTTTCCAATGTTTAGCATTCACATTGTGTGAGGATATTGCTGCTGTGTAACTTTCTGGAACATCATCCTGTTCTGAAACTTCATTAACACATGAATATGTTTTAGCATCCATGTTACACGTTCTTTGTTTAGATCTTGTTGTTACATTTCGTGTAAGTTCTGTTGGATCAATTGTTTGGTCTGGTTCATAAATTGATCCTTCATCTGACTTAAAAGATTCATCACTGGTTTCAGACTGCAATTCACTATCTTCAGATGTATTTTCTAATTGAGTCTCATTGGTAGAACTATCATCATTGGTCTTGGGTTCTGAGACTGACTCTGATAATGGCAGTAATGCATAGTTCCTTTGAACTGAACTTTCAATGAAGATGACATCTCTGCTAATTAACACTTTCTTTGTCTTTGGATCTAAAAACCTATATCCCTTCGTCTGTTCATTATAGCCAATAAAAATCATCTTGTTTGCCTTTGAGTCCCACTTTTTCGATTTTTCTTTTGGCACATGCACCATGGCTTCACAACCAAATACTTTCAAATTAGTGATGTCCGGCCTTCTACCACTCCACTTCTCTTCAGGTGTTGAAAATTCTATCACTCGTGTTGGACATCTATTTGTGATATAGGCAGCAGTCGAAATTGCTTCTGCCCAATACTGTTTTTGTAGTTGAGCATTCAGTAGCATGCATCTTGCTCGTTCTAAAAGAGTTCTATTCATACGCTCTGCTAGACCGTTTTGTTGTGGAGTGTAGGGAGTAGTAGTTTGATGTGAAATTCCAGACTTCTTGAGAAAATTGCGAAATTCATTGCTCAAGTATTCATTGCCATTATCTGTACGGAGAGTCTTTATTTTTAAATCCAGTTGGTTCTCCACCAATGCTTTAAATTCTTTGAATTTTTCAAACACATCAGATTTCTTATTTAATATGTATACAAATACCTTCCTGGTATAATCATCAATGAAGGTGACATAGTAGCGAGCTCCTCCAAGGGATGGTACCTCCATAGGCCCACAAATATCAGAGTGAATGACCTCTAGCTTTGCTTGTGCTCGAGATCCTTGAGAAGGAAAAGGTTTTCTTGATTGTTTCCCTTCTTGACATGAAATACATAAGACCTTTTCTTTATTTTCTAACTTAATTCCTGCAGATTCTGTTAGTTTACTCAAGTCTTCAAAATTTAAATGAGCCATTCTTTGATGCCACAGGTAACAGTCATTGTCTTTTGATGCAGATATGTATGCTGGAGAACTGTGAGTATTAAGCCGGTACATATTATTCATCATCTTTGCAGTAGCCACTTGTTCTTTATTTCTGTTTAATATCTTGCAACCTTTCTCATTAAACTGTATATGACATCCATTTTTAATCATCTGAGTAACCGAGAGAAGATTAGTGGCCAGACCAGGAACATAAAGAACATTCTGCACTTGGATTGTATTTATCTTCCCATTGCTATCAGCAACGTTTAAATTTATATTTCCGCAAGCTTCTACCAAAAGTTTCTCATCATTCGCCACCTTTATAGTACTAATCGGAGGTGGGATTTTATCATATAGCCAGTCACTGTGCATGGTCATATGCATTGACGCTCCAGAGTCTATGTACCAACCTTTCTCATTGCATGTAGTTGCAGAAAATACAGCAACATAGTTGGTACTTTGTTCGGACTTTTCTTTCGACTTCTTATTTCGACAATATTTACTTATGTGCCCATATTTATTGCACACGAAACATCTAGGACCTTTGCCGGTACTGGTTTTCTCTGAAGCTTGTTTGGCAGACTGCGACCGATTGCCTTTGTTTTTATTAACAAACAAAGCATTTGTTTCAGTGCTTCTCACATCTTGAAGCAGTTTAGTTTTTACAGAATCCGATGTTATTGCCACACCTGAGCTTTCAAGAGCCATAATCATCGGCTGATAGACCTCGGGTAAACCAGCCAGTAGTAAGGTTCCCAACCATTCATCATTCACATTAAACCCAATGTTTCGTAGTTTGTGTGCGGTCGACATTATTTTGCTAACATAGTCTTCGATGCCTTGACATGTTTCTAGCGTTGTGGTAATCAGATCTCTTAATAAGCCAACTCTACGTGTCAGACCTTTGTCATCGAAAGCTTTAGATAGGTTAGTCCACACTTCTTTGGCAGTTTTGGCCTCTTGGATGTGTACATAGTTGATGGGATGTACCAATAAAACAATTTTGGACTTAGCTTTCAAATCTTGTTTGACATCGACGCCATCTTCTGTGACACAATGCCATAAATCTTCGTGTTCAAGAAATGTTTGGACGGCAAATCTCCACGTTGGATAGTTTTCCCTTCCGGTCAGCTTTTCAATCAGTGCCATATTATTTATAGAAGACATTTTGCTGATGAGGAAAATTGTGTGACGTCTCGAAGCACCTCGTGTTGATCTAGGTTATGTTTATACGGAACTACTGCTTTTTTTTTTTTTTTTGTTACGGAATTTACTTTGTATTTTAATTATTACTTGTACTTTCTTTGTATTTAAACCGAAATCAGGTGGCCTGGGCCCATAACCTGTTGAGATTAATTAAAAACGGCAAAAGTAAATTTAACACAGCGTAGTTTTATTTAAGAGATTCCAGAGAGTACAAACCAAAACCATAGACTTACTAGAGAAGTACTTTCATGTTAGTGTTGTATTCATAGATGACCGGTAAAGTAGAATTTTATTATTACAACACTTTTATCCCTGAAACGGTACACAGAGGCGTATTAAACGTTTACATTTTGTCGACTGTAATTTAGTCCAATTTACGTAACTGGGGGCAAGCCGATTGTCGTCGACGACTTAAAAAAACTTACGCCAATGGAAATCTACATTATCAGCGAGTAACATATCTTTTTACCGATATGACACATAAACGCGCGGCCAAAACTGGTACTTGTATATTTCTAAATACATACAAATTATAGAAAAAAAATATTCGCACCTGTATGTGGAAAAAAAAATGTATGCATTATTTTTTAATTTCACAAGGCTTTCAAAGTGCTTAACATTAATTTTATTATGTTTTCAAAATAATTATCCGCTGTTTAAGGTTTAAGTTATCTTTCGTTCTCAAGACACAGTTAAGATAATTCACAACCGTATTCATTCCCAAACCAAGTTCCTTATACCACGTTTAAATTATTTAACGTGCACACTTTATTGCATATTTTATAGGCGCTTTTTATTTCAAATATAACAAAGAACAATAGGTTTGTAATCGCTTAAGAACGTATTGTGAATATAACGTTATAAACACTACAATAAATTTTAAAGGCTCAGCTATCGGTCAAGTGAATAATTCTGGGAGGCGTTGCCAATAAAATCCCATCATTCATATTTTAGAAATCGAATAGAAAGTAAGGAGTGAACATTATATATGCAGAATTATAATTGTATTACTCGCTAATATAACCTAAAGGAATAAAGTAGAAAACAGCTTGTATAACAGTATATGAACTGAACTGAACTAAATAGCAGGTACACTGGTTAAAAAATAATAATGACATACTCGTAGCTGGGTACACAATATTTTTAGTACACAATAGGCTGGGTATACAATAGATAATTTATGGAACTACACTAGTTTAACTAATAAAAAAAGAATCATCATCACCTTCCAGCCCTTTTTTTCAATCATTTCAACTTCTAGGTTGCTATTATGTTGAAGTTACTTATAAGATAGGGTAATACTTAATCTGTAAATTTCCTACATGTACTGTCAGCTGTGAAGGACCTAAATAAATTAATAATAATCAAAGTAACAATATTGCCATCATCATTTTCCATAACATTTACAGTTCATGTTTCCTTGGGTTTCAAATCCTTGTAAACCCGTATATTTTAATCAGCGGAATTTTAAATTAAATTTCTTTTTCGATAATCTTCAGGATCAAGAATAGCCTCCCCAACCCGGCTAAGGTTATCTGGCGGTGCTATCGGCGCTTCAGCCAATCGCAAGAGAGCGGTTTCCTGGAGTCCATATTCCGCCGAATCATTAGACCTTGCGGCGGTAATCAGGGCCTCACCAGCTAGTTTAGCTGTTCGAGCACCTTCGGCGGCTTCTACGGGCAGCTATGGCCATCTTAGTGCTGGTAAGTTAAAATAAAGTAGAAAAAGTTTTAAACAAATACTTAACAGGTCTTGTTTGTCCCTGTTATACCATTAATCATCAGGATAGATCACTGGCTTCAATAAATAACTATTCGTAATGAGCGATGATTCTATGTCAAAAGATACTTACTATTTCTTCTTTACTGAACTCTGTATAATTATTATTTTCAGGTGCGATATCCCCGGCGCTTTCCCTCTCACACGCCTCCTTGGCGCAGCAATTGCTTGCGCGAGGTGGAGTGGTTGGCAGTAGTGGGGTCTTAGCGGGCGGAGTGTTAATGGACCCCGCTCACCAACAAGCGGCTGCCGCGGCGGCGCATCACGCGGCACATGCGCATCTTGTAGCCGGAATTCATAGGTGAGAGATTCTTAATTTAATTAATTGTTTTAAATGATTAAACTATTATTAACATTATACAAAAATTGATTTATAAAAATTAAAATATCGCTTCTAGTTAAGCGCACTAAAATCTTACATTTTGTGTTGTGATCTCCGTCTACGCACGAAGTTGTGACAGTGTGGGTAGCAGTTAAAAACATTATTATATGACAACCGCTTTTATGTATGCTTTCAAGTAATATATTATTGTGTATTAGTATTAATTATGACCTCATGTTTAGTGAATTGTATTATGATTCAGGAGAATAAATATCGAAACCAAATCATTTACGGTTTTGTCAATAAAAATGGTGATTAGCACACGAACACAAGAAATAAAGAAAGAAAGAAACATTTATTTGCACAGAATACAGGTGGTACCAGATTTTACAAAGGTGTATAATGGTCAAGCTATTTTCTGCCTGTACTAGGCATGCAAATATTTATATAGAGACACATTACAATTTGAAGTAAGTTGTACAATATTCCCAATCACAACAATCTAGAAATCAGTGCAGTCTCCTTAGGATTTTCTTAGTAACATGACTAATATAGGCTACCTGAGATGTTTACGTATTGGAATTTATCGAACCACATTTCGGTTGATTAATGATTGGTTTTCAAATATTGACGGAACTGATGTAAACATTTGATAACATTCTTAAACTCCGCGTCTGACAAAAAACGTTGTACCTATTTAGCTGGGAAAAGATCTTAAGACGTGATAAAGACATCGAAATAATTTGTTAAAAGTAAAAAATATATCAAAGAGTTGAATTTCGGCGGGTATAGACATTTAAGGATTAACTAATAAAATTTCCACAAAAGTAATACTTCAATCACCATAACCATGAATCAAATTTTACCATACATAGCTGGAAATATTGTGGGGTACGTAGTAATGGCCATTTTTGGATGTAACAAAATAATGATTTATGGACCAAGTACAAAATGTTACAGCCGTAGGCAGGCGTTTCTCTTTTTCTGTCTCGGCTCTCTTTTCTTCTCTATCGTCTCGAATGGCTGCTTTGGTGCTTATGGTGTTACATTATTAAGTCAAATTGAATCCTTATATCTATCGAAAAATGTCAGCTTTAAAAACCTTTACATGAGCACAATGGTAAAACAGCTAACGTTTTATTTTTATTTTTTTGTAAATGTAAATGAACCTTTAGAACTTAGTTTTTGAAAGAATTAAAATAATTTTAGTAGTCTACGTGGTTCTTTAGTAATCCATTAACCTATCTGTCTGTCTGTATTTTACCTTAGACCTATTACTGCTTTCCTAACCTAATCATTTCGTCATCAGATCTCACATCTCATCGCCCACGCAGCTCCTGATGGGCGCTCCAGTAGATGTGCGACCAGGTCTAACCTTAGATGGGACGCCACCGCAGCATCTACAGCAGCCACAGCAACAGCAAGAAGTCACCAGTGTAATGGAAGCTGACAGGTAAAAATCTTATTTATTGCATTAGATTCTTAACTCGTCATAAACATAAAAATTAACGGAAATAATACATTCATGCAGTCTATGTGCAATCAAATTGGTATTCTGTCGGCTTATTATAAATTATGAGGCTATCGTCATCTCTACAAGATACAGCAAATTTTAAACATGTTTACTACACTATAAGCCATATTAGCATCTTTTCCCTTTTGATAAACCCGTCTAAATTTTGCAAAAGTTTGTGTACTGAATTGGAATTAAAGTTGAAATAGTTCTATTTAACGAGATTTAACATAATAGTCTCTTCTCTTTTTACAGTGCTACAGGTATGACGCAGCGCAAATCTCCTCAAAGTCTAATGGGCCACCGAGACAGTCTTCACAGCAATAAGCCATTATCTGCAGCGGCTGAGAGCACCGTACACGATGGACTCGACTCTAAAGATGAGCCCGGAGATTTCATTGAAACCAATTGCCACTGGGTAGGTATTCAGATTCTTTTAGAATCATTACTTTGAACGATTTTATTAAAAAAAATTCAATTCTCACGGACGACTCGATGTTACCAGATGTTTCAATTTATATTTAATCTTCACAAGTTAAGTATAAACTAATTCTAAATTTAGCTGTATTGTTTCGTAAAAAAAATATAATAATATTAATTAGTATATGCAGACTGTAATAGTGTATGATATATTTTTTGCGATTTATATAAGCGATCAATACTTATGTTATGTGGGTCTAGCTATTTTATTAAAATTGTTCATTTTGCAGTAACGCCAGAATTCCTACCCACCTTTAGAACGCCTGCTCAATAGCCTATTATTATATTTTCTAGGTGGATTGTAAGCTAGAATTTCCAACACAAGATGATCTAGTGAAGCACATTAACACGGATCATATCCACGCAAGCAAGAAGGCGTTCGTTTGCCGATGGGTTGGTTGCTCCAGGGATGAAAAGCCGTTCAAAGCGCAGTACATGCTTGTTGTACATATGAGGAGACATACTGGAGAGAAACCGCATAAGTGTACCGTAAGTCTTTCTGATAAATTTAACATTTTCATGTAAATAACATGAATTCCATGTGCAGACCATTATCGTTTGATAGTAACTTAACCTTATTTCTATGAGTATCAAGTAATTTGTTAGATATTTTTGAAAAGTATCTTCAAACAGACTTAGTCACTTACTCGAACTTTCAAAGTTTTTCCAAAGTAACAAGAGACCGTGTGATGACGAATTAAGAATACAGTGTCACCACCCATATTCCTCCCGTGGGTGTCGTGCAGCTGTTGTCCTGTTTACTACACTATATGCTACGCTACGCTGTTGTCCTGCGTAGTTTGCTCCTAGTCCTTAAGACTAAAGGAGCAAACTACGCAGGACAACAGCGCTACAAAGGAGAAGGACAACTTGACACAAACCCTATACCAACCTGTCTGGCCAGCGTGGTATAGTAGGCCAAAACCTCCTTTCTAAGTAGAGGCCTATGTCCAGCAGTGGACTATTAAAGGCTGTAGATGATGATGATGATGGTATTAGAAATTTAAGTTGTTTTTCTTGTGTCCATGGGCGGCGGTTGTCACTTACCATCAAGTGACCAATCTGCTTGCTACCTCTTTTAATTAACAAAAAGTTCCTTTTTCCCTGAAAATGTATCATGATTTTTTTTACTTACAGTTCGAAGGTTGCTGTAAAGCTTACTCCCGATTGGAAAACTTGAAGACACATCTTCGAAGTCATACCGGCGAGAAGCCATACACCTGCGAGTATCCTGGTTGCGCCAAGGCTTTCTCCAACGCTAGTGACAGGGCTAAACACCAGAACAGGACGCATAGCAATGAAGTGAGATTTATTTTATTAAAGTTGTCAGAATAACACCAAATGGATATAAACGTATCGTAAGACTATATTTCTGCAGGAAGAATAGAGGTTCAAGTGGGTAATATTTCTGAGCCTATGGTTAAAGTAAATATGTTGTGAGTTGTATATAAGAAAAACTAAAACTCTCTCCTAAGAAAAAAAACTCTCTAGGAAAGCTATAACATTAAGACACATAGTACAATGATCTGTGAATGACTCATATAGTTATCCCAGACAAATATTTGTGGTAATCCGCTAAAATATAATTATCAGCTCTTCAGTCCAAAGTTCAAAGATACTACAGACAAAAATATGGCCATGAAACTAAAATAATTATACTAATCATTGAATGGTCTCTTTTACCCAGAAACCGTATGTCTGCAAAGCGCCCGGTTGCACTAAGCGCTATACTGATCCTTCTTCATTACGCAAACACGTGAAAACTGTACACGGAGCTGAGTTCTACGCTAGCAAGAAGCACAAAGGTAATATTTATGTATATTATAGTATTTTTCTATAAATTATAAACACCAAGGACTATTTTGCTCTGAATCAGTTTTTGAAACAGTTTGAAGTATAAAGATGTAATCCAACTCAAATAAAGATATTTCGACTGCTCTGTGTTACTCTTGATTCACAATTGTTTTCTTTATCTAGGATGTAGTCGAGGAGACGACTCAGCAGAATCTGGCGGTGGTGGAGCGGGCTCCTCACCGCGCTCAGAAGAAGGAGGAGTACCTATTGGAGTCAGAGGACATACATCGTCGGCGTCGGTCAAGAGCGAGAGCCCCGCGTCTCCAATACCGCATGGGCTGCATACGCCTGCTCATCAGGTAATGATGATGGTATGATAAAAAATGATATAACTTATTTATTAGTAGTTTTTAAAAAATCATGCTAAGAACTTACAAAACAGTTATTTGGTCAATTTAGTATTTACAATTCACTTATTAGAAAATCGTAGTCACTTACAGTTTTTCACGTCCACAGTTATCAGCTCAATGTGGTGGGGAGTTAGACTTCGGTGGATCTGGTCTTGGTGGCTTTGGTGATGAACATGGTGCTCCGTACTTTAGATTGGATGGAGAGGTAAGCTTATAAACTTTCACTTATGTACTTATCTACATATAGTAACTATAAAAAGTTTGAAATCTAACTGATGTTTGATGCATTTCCAGGTTGAACAAGAAGTGGTTGGTGAAGTGGGACAGCTTCCTCTGATGCTCCGTGCTATGGTGGCGATTGGTTCTCCACGAGCCCACCACCACGCGCCGCGCATTGGAAACAAAATGTGTGTGGCTAGGTTACTACCTCCACACCCTGATATTGCTTCAGGTCAGTATAACACATAAAACTGAACTATGATGACTTAACTGTGATGATTAAAAAAAAACTAGGGGTCAATAAAATCAGTAAATTATTATTTTGAAATATTAGCTCGGTTGCTATAATGCATTTGTTCAAATATTTGGATTTAAAAATTCTAGTGACTTCGGGGGTTGATGAAAGGAACTTCTGACAAATATGATGCATTGTTTTTAAACTTCTTGCTCTTCGTGTTTCTAAAATATTTTTTAAGTAACACCTATTGTTCACTAGTCTGCAACGGAATAAACTTTACTGTTTCTAAACTTGAATCTATGGACCTGATTCAAGTGTGAGAGACAGTAAACTTGCAGATATTTATGAACCTACCGGACTTCATGAAATGAATCTAACCGAACATATTCTTAGGTGGTGTACCAGGACGGACAGAGCTTGGTAATACCAACGTGGCTGTAGAACTGAAGACAGGAGTTCCTAATACTAGACGAGATTCTGGAATTTCTTCTGGAAGCAGTCTGTACAGTGCAAGGTAAGCATGATTTCGTGCTTTAATTTTTTGTTGCTTACAATAAAATTGTCCTATTTGCTTGGAGTTCGAATACGTAACAGCTAATTAAATTATGGAAAAATATCTAAAGTCACCGCAACAACGTGTTGGTTTGTCAATGTTAACTAATTATGGCAACAGCATGTAATAACAATATTAAAATCTAATTGGATACAGAAGGCCTGGTGTGAGTTTGTTACACATCAACTCGGTCTCGACAGCGAGCGTGTTTGGCGTTGTGATTGGTGGAAATTTTAGCGTGAGCCAAGCGTAACGCTGAACGCGGTCACCGTGACGAGCGAGTAAAAGTGAAAGAAACTTACACTAGGGCCTTAGTTTAGTTAAAATAATGGTACCTACATTGAAATTAAATAGCTGAGAAGGCAACTAATACAGTGTGTAGTTAAAATAAGTAACAGTGAAGGTACATCAACCTGATTTAACCTAACCATAAATTTCCCAGGTCATCAGACATATCTCGCAAAAGCAGTCAAGCATCGGTAGTATCTGGAGCTGTGGCTGCAACAGCCAGCGTCGCTGTGCGGCCGCAACACGTGTCGCAACATACTACAGTATACGACCAGCTCTCGCCTGATAGTAGTAGAAGGTAAGTAAAAGCAAAAAATATATCTTTGGCTATGCACACGGTCTATTGGTGAAGTTAGCCCAGTAAATAGCCAAAAAGTATCCCTACTTAGCTATAAGTAATCGAACTTTTTATTTTATATTGGAAAGGCTTCATTCATCTTAATGCTGCTTTGTACTCAACGACAACTTTTGCTTAAACTTTGATTCCGTAATTTTGCATCAATACTGAATAATCTCGTTACTTGTTATATGTGTTTCAATGAGAGCGTACATATTCACAGATCTAGTCAAGTGTCGTGCGTGGGTTATGCCCCAGCGCCCTCCTCTGCTCTCGCCGCCGTGCAAGCCGTCAGAACATCCCAAGGCAATCAGGTATGTTTATACATTTATTGTTTGTAAAAAATTAACTTCTTTAATCTAAATACAATGAACTGATCTATATCAATGAAACTTTCTAGAACCAGATTTCTAAAAGATAAGTAGAAAAAAGATATCTGATCGTATTCGTTGCCCAATCCCACAATGTTTTTCTAAAACTTTAGTGGTTTGTTGCATTGCTTTTGATATTGTTGAACTGGTATCATATACTTTATAACAGTATAAAGTCTTTTAATAATTCTATCCTGTTTTGCAGGCCGTACTCCTCCGAGGAGTAACATGCTCCGAGGTTCGAGCTGAGGAACTAGCGCTGGAGCTTGACCCGAACGTACAGGTTAAGGAAGAGGCTAGGAGGTTGTCAGAACAGTCCAATTTGAGCGACCAGCAGTACCAACAATACCCTTGTGCTACTGATGATGTGGTATGTAGATGTTTGAGTTTTTTTTTTACTTAAATGATATTGTACCTTTATTGGTAATTAAAGACTAAAGGAGGAAAAATGAAAGGTATGCATTAGCGGTACAATATTCAATTCGTGTTAATTACTAGCATCCCAAAGTAAGGACTGCTGTTTTTGTGTAATAGCCACCTAGTCCCCATGGAGTATCATCTGGTCAAGTATTCTATCTGTTTGTTGTTTGGTTTGTTTTGATTGAAAATTATATAAAAACATAATAATAATGCAGAATTTACCTTTTACCAAATCCAAAAGTTCTAAATATGAATTCCATCACACTACAAGTTCTTGGAAATGAATTTCAAGGCAAGTTCCATCAATTTTTTTTTTTATTTCTTTCAGGGTGACGCCCCCTTCCCTTTCAAGACGGAGGATGATCAGGAGACGGTGACTTTTAAGGAATCGCGCTCAAATTCCACAAACACCGTGGTCATCACAACCGCGCAAGTCCACCACCCTAACCAGGAGGTCAATCTGGAACAGGTAAGGATCAATTGGGCAATTTTCGTAATAAAAGTTCGGTCGTAATTCAGTTCCGGACTGCAATTGGCCTTTTAAACATTAGGCACGACTGCGCGGATGGTATAGTAGTTTCAGCGGTCACACCGCCGTTTTTACTGCGCTGAGTGTTGTGGGTTCAATCCGTACATGGGACAACAATGTGTTATCTACAAATTGTTGTACTGAGTCTCGGTGTTATCTGTGCCCGTTTCATGAATTTTGTTTTGAGTTTGTAAAGTCCCCCGCGAGACTAGTTGTATTTCTAGTCCCACACTAGAAGAGTCTTTAAATATATCGATTTCTATACCTATATCTTTAAAAAATATTTTGATTGAACGCCATCTATTTTTACAATACGCAGAGCTTGTACTATGAAAGCTAGATTGACTGATAGAATACTTATATACCTTTGTTTGTAAATACATACATATTATACATAGCAAACGCCCAAACTTTGAAACAAACATTTGCAAATCAAACAAACATTGGATCCGCAGCAGTCGTATACGCTGCCACTGCAACACCAAGGCAGCCACAATCGCAGCTATCCACAACCAGTAAAACAATAGTATTTAAAAAAAGGCAAACTAAAATATATCCCCTGTATGGACAAAGCGTACTGCTCTGCATCATTAAGTTTAAATTTAAAGTTCACTCCTAGTTCACAATCAGTATTAGAGATATAGTGAAAGAAACCTATAAAACATAAGAAATATGTTGGAAGGAATAATTTAAGTGTAGCTTTAAAAAACAGTGAAAATTATGTGATTTCAATTTTTTTTTAAACATTCCTAAAATTTCCTTTAAACAAGTAACAAATCCGTTGAATAGAACTGCAGGACAGAGTCGGAATTAGTTCTTTATATTGTTAATAAATAGATTCTTGATGTTGTTGTAGGTTGCCGAAGGCGAAATGGTGGAGAATAAGCTGGTAATACCAGATGAAATGATGCAATATCTTAACCAATCAATATTGGCAACGGAATCGGCAACACCAGCTAAAACTGACTCCACCAATCAGCCTGAACCAGAGACGAACACAGAAAAGGATAGTGCAACCAAAGACAATACTACTAGTGATTTAACTAACACGAACAATTCCGGTGACAAAATCAGTGACGTTGCAAACAGTGATGATTCTCTACTTAAAAACCTAGGTGCCATAGGAAGTGATCTCAACATAAGTGATATTCCAGTCGATTTAAGATCCTTAGACGTTAGTATGTCGGGTAATAGTGGGTCTTTACTGAACTCTAAATCCCCTGAAGATAAGACTCCATTACAAGAACAAGTTATTCCTGAAGTCCCAATTGAAAAATGTGAAAAAGAGTTTACGAAACAGGCGTCAAGTAAAGTTAGTTCAAACCCATTGCAATCTTTACAGACAATGACGGCGAATCAAAATGAACAAACTAATAGAATGCGATCAAATCAAATACCTCAGAAACAAACTACAATAAGTCCGAAAACTGTAGTTATGAGTCAGAATGTTCTAAGCCCACAGAATTTGGCGCACAGCATGCTCAGTCCACAGAGTCTTCCTCATAGTGCTATGAGTCCCCAAAGTGTCATGAGTCCTCATGTACCTCATAACGTGATGAGCCCACCAAGCGTTTACAATGTTATGAGTCCGCAAAGTGTTATGAGTGTTATGTCGCCACAACACAACGCCATGAGTCCTCAAAGCATGCAAAGCCTAATGAGTCCACAAATGCCTAATCAAATTATAATGAGTCCCAGACATAACAATATTGGAAGCCCAATGTCTCAAAATATGGCAAGTCCAATGGTGAATATGACTAGTCCTATGCCTCAAAATATAGCTAGTCCATTAAGCCATGGTATGCCTAGTCCAATGCATCCAGGACTCCAAAGCCCTATGGGACAAGGTATGACCAGTCCTATGGTACAAAATATACCAAACATGGCCATGAATGGACAAATTTCTAATCAAAATCAGATGATGAATATGAATATGAATCAGGGCCCTCAGGGGGCTGTCAATCAGAATTATATGAATTATCGCCATAACTGTAGTTCCAAGGTACCTGTTCAGAACAGACCTAATTTCAACCAATATCAAAATCAGAACTACAACCAACTGCCTACATACCCAGCTCAAAACCAAAACGTAATGAGAAGTCAAAACATGCAACAGTATCAAATGATGCAGCAATACAACCAAAATCAAATGCCCATGCATCCCATGGGGAACCAACCCATGGTTTACAATAACCAGATGAATTATCAACCCGTAAATTATACTAACCAAAGCAACCAAATGCATTCATTGCAAATGTCAAGATCATCGGTAATGAGCGTTGATAACAGTGGTAATATGAGTCGCGGGACAATGAATAATTATTGCGAACAGCAAAATCAATGCCCACCACAACAGAATGAACAATACAACCAAAATATGCAATCTTATCCTCAACCTCCCCCGTATAATACCGTTGTTAACGCTGCAAACGTCATGGGGCCGCCTCCACCTAAGAATAATCATCAGTACAACCAAACAATGATGAATAACAACCAGTATTACAATCACCAGAGGCCCTACAACCAGTGGGACTATCCAGGTAATCAGTTCAACAAACATAACATGCAGAAATCTGCTCAGAATTCTATGAATATGTCCACTGGAAGTCAGAAGCCTATAAACGGAACAAGAGCTTCTGTAAATCAGATGAAAAATGACCAACAAACTGACTGCAGTATGAACAGTTTAAGGAGTCAGAATAACCAGGCTAGTGATGTTCAGGTGTGGGATATATCTCAGTCTCAAATAGAAGCAACAAATGGTAGAAAAAAGAATCAAAATAGCACAATGCGCCAGGACACGTATCAAAGAACATTAGAGTACGTAGAAAGTTGTGAAAATTGGAAAAGTTCTGAAATGGTATCTAGTAGTACACATCCGTTGCAAGGTGGTGACAACATGGTTGTGAATGATTTACAAACATCATTATCTTCATTTTATGAAGAGAATCAATACCTCCAGATGATACAGTAGTTTAATTATCGTGTTATATAAATACTATGGAAATATAAGTGTGGATGATTATTTGTTAAATAATCTGCAAATAGTTGAACTCTATTCAGTTAAGTTTATTTTTAATTATTATATTGTCAACAATTTTTATATAGTACTAAGAATTGATATTTGGTGCACGCTAAAATAAAGGTTGTAAAAGAACTTTTCTCTGACTGAGACTGATTAATTTTATATTTGTATATTTAAGGGCTTTCGATACAAGTTTTATGGCAGTAAGACATACATCCTATTTTTGATAGTCACTTACGAAATGCTATCTTTAAAGTGAGAGCCAAGTTGATAAAAATTAGTCTTTTACGATCTTACTCAACGGTTTATTAAAATATTGAAGCAGTTTATGAAGTACATTAGTTCTTAAATAGATATATTAAAAAGACATGTTTTGTATGCAAATTGTACATATCTCTTAGACGTCTTCCAAGTAGCTAAGTACTAATTTTTATTTTTAATGCATTTACTTATAATTGTTTATGTGTAAGTTAAGTGCCTTAATGTACATAAGATACATTGTACATAACATTACAAAGATGACAGTGCCTTAAATGAGGATTTATTACTATTTCTACTATTGTTATTATTAATCGAAATCATGTAGTTTTGAGATCTGAAGTTTGATTAACTGGTCTGGTGTGTACTATTTCTAAATAATATCAAGAAGAAAATATCATCTTTGTTATTAAATTTAATATTTTTAATTTGTTAAAGAATAGAAAAGACAGTTATTGTGTTTAATACAGTTTTGTATTTGTAAAGATATATAATATAATAATTTAAGGATTTTTTTAATCGTTAAACAAATAGTTCCGTATCCTGTAGTTTCTGGTATCTGCTATAAACATCATAAGTAGATTCCAAACTACAAAACTTGATAGTAGGCCACAGATTTATTAAAAAAAGTAAAAAAACAACGTACTAAAAAACAACATATTTTAACTATGAAGTTGGAATAAGCAATTATTAAACTTGGCGCGTACACTACCACGTGCTCATATTGTTTTTATCAGACCAGTGTTAATAGATCTCTGTACAATAGGGTGATCTTTGAGATTATTAGATAGAAATAAAATTGTACAAAATAGAAAAAAAAACTTTTTTAGAATTTTTACAGCGTTATTAAATTTTAAACTTGACATCTAAATGTAATTACTAATTTACAATAAAACAATAGGAATCTTTGTTTTGATAACATAGAATCTCTTACTTTATTCATTGAGATTACTAGAATGTAAGATTTTTTGTTAATGTTTATTTAAATGAACGCACAACGATTTATAATAAAATTGCGTATTCTCTAATAAATTATTTGTTTTTAATGTTTGTAAATGGACAAAACTGGATATCTTTGACGAAATTTTAATGAAACTTTGAAATAAAATTTTGTCATTATGAAAGTATATTAAATTTAATTATTTATCCACCTCCCTGTTTGCTGTCCTAACTAAAACCAACACGGTTATAATTTTTTATGATCTTATATCACAAACGAACCATCCTTGTGGTAAAAGATTTTAAGTACGGAGTGTCACCATGCTAATCACCCCACGGGTGTCGTAAGAGCCGACTAAAGGAGCAAACTACACACGACAGCAATGCAAAGACAGGGCAAACTTGACACAAACCCAAATTACGAAAACAAAAAAAATTGTCCTGCTTCTAAATCACAGAATATTTTTTGTTCATATTTTGCAAATCGTCTAGAAATAAAGTGCAGAATATGTTAGTTAAAGATAAGTCAAAAGAAGAAAAAAACACGTTGTATAAGATCATTACGAGTAAGTAAATGTCTTGTTTGTTTTAAAACTTTTGTAACACTACATTAAATAGTAGGCACATGATAGTCAATCGCTGAAGCTGAGATAACACATTGCTCACGGTTATGAGTTCCGAAGTAAATGAATATTGGTACAGTCTACTCTGTGAAAGTTAAAACGAAAGATCAAATATCAACACCTTAAACAACATGCACGAAGCTCATAACGTGTCACAAAAATTCCATTTAAAAGTTAAAAGTTCTAGAAATTGTGTGTGATCGTGTGAAGCAGGCCAGGGTCAAGCGCGCGCCCTTTCGGGAGCACAAAGGAACATGGGGGTGAAGAGGGGGAAATCTGCAAGCCTTAGGATGGCTCGAGGTACGTCGGGGTACAAAGGATTTCCTTTCTAGGGTACATCTGGTCCTCCGGCTACTGGTACCCGAGACGGCGTGCGGATTTTTGTCGGTTCGAGTCCGACATAACCACTAAACCGGTTGATAGTATCCGAGGGGATTGACGCTTAAAAAAAAAGCCGTAAGAACACAAACAGAAAAGATAGGCTTTCGAATCATGATATATGGCTTCAATGTTGCAAAAATGTTAAAGTCAGTCAATAAGCGCCTTTGGTTTGCTGAGAGAGCAATCGCCCGCATTACTTAATGGATATATATTTTCATTGGCGAGAGACTTGAATAAACAGTGGCTGAAAATATATTAAGTGCGAAGAGAGCCGGCTGTAAATTGGAATGTAATTAACACTTTGCTTTGATGATAAATCGAATATCTATGGACGGTTTTATGTTCATCTCAACACCCAGAATAAAGCCAAAATGTTTTCGGATATGCTTCTTAGTATATCTATTACTAGTCTTTCGTTTTTATGTTGAACTTTTTCGTAAAGTCTTATAGTTCATAAACAATCACTATGTTGACAACTTTTTTTTCAATCAGCTTTCGTCTTACGAACTCATTAGATCGTTCCTAGAATAGGTAATATAATAATATACTACAAAATCAGCGGCCTTTCTTTCTATTTATTTACATCAAGTCAACAATTATTTCTATACGATTATTGAAAAAATCTTATGCTACATCTATTTTTTTATTGGGACTAATCCCACCCACACGCCCACCACTGTAACTCCTGTACACCAGGATCAACAGCAGTGACCCACGAACACACCGAGTTATGACACTCGGGAAGTCCCAGGAAGAAATTAAACTGTCTTGGAACCCGCAACGAAATTAATCAGAAGAAAATTGGAGGAGTTGGAAATACAGTAAATCCACTTCCCTCCTTAGCAAAGCGGGAGACAAAATGAAGTAAAATAGGCATACACCCTTTTAAACAGGGAAGCACCACGGCCACAAAATATTACGGGTCCTACATGAGCTATATTTGATTTCTATAATATGTATGGCAGAATCGCCTAAACGCACGGAAATTCACCCTAGTTGACACAAGATCCCCATAGTATACCGCCCCAGATGTCACCTGCAAGCTATTCAGCATTATATTACGTTCATTATACCAAAGACTACATTCCCAGAGGATATGATGAGCAGACTGTTCATAATGAGAGTTAGGTGTTGAGCATTGACACAATGGTGACTCGACTAATTTAAATGAATACAACTTGCTCTTAAAGTTACCATGACCCGTAAGAAATTGAGCGACACAGTGATCCACCTCAAGCCATGTCCTCGACAACCGTTCGCGAACAGATGGAAAAAATTGGTAAAGATGGCGCCCCTTGGATGATTCGTCCCAGCGTTGCTGCCATTCGTCTATGAGGTCATTATAGACATCGGACTGCTGTTGAAGCAATCTTGTAATTTTACCGCGATCCCGCGCGCCCAAGAAATCGCATTCCATGTTTTGTCTTGAATAGTACATGGCTGCACGTCTCTGCACCTCGAGATCGACCGGAAGGACACCTGCCAACACCGGCAAAGCCTCAGTGCTAACCGTCCTATATGCCTTGCACAAAAATATCAGTGCAAGTCGTTGGCCTTGTAACAGTTTGCGACGGACAGCGCCTACGGTCGCCCTATCGGCCCATACAGGTGCACCATAGCACATAGAACCTAAATAAGTAGCTCCGTATATGATCTTTAATGTATTAAATGATAGACCCCATGTCGCAGTTGATATCCTTGTCAATGCACAGAAACTCTTTTTAGACTTTTCATTAACTATTTTAATATGTTCGATAAATGAAAAGTTTCTTTCTAAAACTAATCCTAGATAACACACTGTGGTTTTATTTTTTACAGTAACATTGTCAAATCTAATGCTCGGCGGTGATTTGAGGTTACCTTTTAAAAGTAACTGGAAGGTTTTGTTGGGTGCAAAAGTTAAGCGATTACGTTCACCCCATTGAGATATCAAGTTCAAACATCTATTGGCTAATCTCTCAAGCCCTGCCCTAGTATCAGATTCCACCAGTAATAAGCCGTCATCAGCATACGCGTTCAGAGTACATCCGGATGGTATTGGTATCGTAAGAAAATCGTCGAAGCCGATATTCCACAAGTATGGACCCAGCACCGATCCCTGAGGACATCCCATTGTAAGCGCCTTCGACACAGAATGATGACCAAGTCTTAGTTTAGTTGTACCTTGTGAAAAGTACGAAGAGATAAGGGAATAAATATTTTTAAAACACCCCCGTGATTTTAATTTCAGCAACAGCATGGGCCACCATGCGTTGTCGAAGGCGCCAGATATATCTAAGAAAATAGCCAGCACGTATTGAAAGAACAATGGCAGAAACATATTTACCTAAAACTGAAGCGTTTAAAAAATTGACTAACACTAAACTTACTTAATATTTTTTCTATGATTTATCATTATACCGCCATGTGTTGTATAAGTCTAATAAGAGATTGGATATTTTTAAAGATTTTATTTGACCTAAGTACGTAATGTCAGAATCGCCATCACGAACTGACTAGGGATGCGTGATGATATTATTATGTTATGGAACGTTTTATCGATAATCGATTGTTATAACTTTGGCTTGAAATGTCTATCGAAGGTTCACCTATTATGATTATGAATTTGCTTCTGCCCGGTTTACTCGTACGCTACCGTAACTAGTACTGTAGTGACTAAATCAAACTAATTAGAAATAATTTTGAATATTTTTGACTCTTTTTAAAAGATTTTTGCTACACCAAAATAAATAGAATATAGTTACGTTA